TGCATCGGGGTACCCAGATGCTGCCCCCCTACCTTCTGAATGAGTATGGATACTTTAATTGAAAAAATTTTGACAATTCTTTTATTTAAAAAAAAAATGGAATCCACCGATGTAATCCAGCGGCAATCACAATGAACAAATGGGCGGAGAAAGCTGTGATGTCACGAGGCTCGTTCCACCCATTTGACATTCTTAGCTGTCATATAACACAAAAGCATTTGGGAGCTCCCGAATGCCATTCGGGTCTGGGAGCCTGAGGTGTCAATACTGTTCATATGACACCTCAGCCCACAGACCCGAATGGCATTCGGGAGCTCATTGTGTTATACGACAGCTTAAAATGTCAAATGGGCTGAATGAGCCTCGTGATGTCACGGCATGCTCCGCCCATTTGTTTACATTTGCGACAGAGCTGTCATTTTGCGACGAGTCTTCGTCAGGCTTGGACAGGTTGGCGTGCGGTGGAACTTTTTTATTATTATTAATTTTTGCGGGGTAGGATTTCCCCTTAAAATTCCTACCATACTCAAAGGGCCTGGTATGACTTTTGTTTTCTTCTGTGGTCTGTAAAAAAAAAAAAATAATTATCGGGAATTCACATTTGTTGGCATTCATTATTTCTGTCATTCGGAAATTCAGATGCATCCGAAAGTACGGATTTTATAAAAATTCATCCAAAAAATTAATCTTTCCAAAACGAATTGCACATGACTATCAGATATTACATTCTGAGTCGGGTGGAAAATTGTTGAGTGAATAGTGGCTGCGGCCAGTCATCTGAAGTCACTGTTTGGTCAACAATTTTCCACCTATCTCCTTGAAAAATCAACTTTAGTCAAGCCAAGTGGTGCTGGCAGGACAACCCATGGATCTAATTGTACCCCATTCACTTTGGGGGATGTCCCCCCCCCCCCCCCTCCTCTTTCTGTTGCCTCTATATGTCACGTCAAGGAAGGTCATGGAAAGATTTTAGCTAAAATATGGGTATCAGAGGACAGAGGGTCTAGATGAGTGAGGCAATTTTTGCTTGGAATACTCTTCTTGTATTTCACTGGTATAGTAATGGGGTTTAAAGTACTGTTGGTCTATATTTAGTGTCATGTTTTGTGCTTTGATTTATTTCCCGGAAGGTATTATAGACCAGATTAAGGCCGAGGAGGCAAGAGGACGGACTGCAGCTGCAAAATTATTCATAGATAAACTGCTGGGCCTGGAAGCTGAAGGATGGTACCAAGGACTTATAGATGGTCTAGAAGCTGCAGGTTTGTTTCTGTATAATGTGTTTCTAACTTTCTCCATTATTTTTAATATTTCATTTATGGATTATTGTTATGTGGTAGAAAATTGAAATGTAAAGCACATCTAAGAACAGATAAATGCTGTTGAAGGAAGCCATTACAAATACATATTGCAGACACAGACAAATGCTCATGGTAATACAATGCAAATATATCTGTGTGGTTGGCTTGAACACAGTAGAGATCTTTTTAAAAAATGGACATCTTAATATAGAGTGGTGGGCTGAAGATGGATCCTTCTGTCATAAATGTATTTTGTCCCTAGAAAAGCGAGAAGCGAGCAGGAACATTGACTGAATTGAAAACATCTTGTACTCTGAGTAGCTAGAAAGCAGATTGTCTCCATGATTGTGAATGACTGCTTTGTATTCCTATTAATAAGGAAATGAAGACCTGTTCCTATGATTGTTACGGGTTTCTTGTTGCCCAGCCCACGAAAGGGCAAATATGCACCCACTAGTTCCAGTACGGTAACTTACCAATTTTCTAGAAATGGAATGCAAGATTGAGGTTAGACACACAGGGCCCGATCTATGAAAGTAATGTGCCAGGTTACAGCATTATTTGCTAAGGTCAGGACAGGATGGGGTCATGTATTGCTTTCCAAGGAGTGAGGGTTGGTGAGAGATTCTTTGAGCTGCTCACTTTCAGGGCTTGTTTACACCATGTCCATTGCTGAGGTTTTCTGCACACCACTGCACATGTGTGATGTAAAAGGGAGAAGCAAATGATACAAAAAGGTAGTAACTGTGTGTGGATGAGTTGTTTGAGAAAGTAAAAATTCAGTTGTTAGGTGGAAGTGGCATAGGCTTTCCTGAAGAGATTCATTTTTAATCATCTCCTAAAGGAAGACAGAGTAGGAGATGAGCGGACAGATTGGAGTAGGGGGTTCCAGAGGATGGGAGAGGCTCTGGAGAAGTCCTGGAGGCGAACATGGGAGGAGTTGATGAGGGAGCTAGAGAGCAGGAGGACTTGGAAAGCGGAAGGGATGGCTAAATTGTAACCTATTTAATTGTTGGTCCTTTTTTTGCTTTTTGTTTAATCCAGGATATGGTGGGCTATCGAAGGCACTTGCAGAAACTGATTTCACAATAATTGAAAGTCTAGAAAAACCAAAGCGACATCTTGACATTATCAGACAGACTGTGACATTTAACATTAATCCTAACGAAGTAGCTTCTGAGCTGGGTGACTGTCTCCTCAAAAGGGAGGTTGAAGAGATTATGCAGGTAAATTTGGTAACAATATGAATGAATAATAGCCCATAGAGTGAATTCGGAGAACCTTTTCCATAAGAGATGGGATTCCTGGATCAGGTTTACTAAACAAAATACTTAAAGTAAGAGAGTAGATTGACATTACGATGTTTCACGTTGTGCCACTACTTTATTGTCTGCGTACCCATAGCTCCTCCTCTCTGTCATTCTTATCCCCTGCCCTCCCTTATATGTAAGGTCCCTTCCTTCCGTCATCCCCCCGCCCATTCTTTCCTACCCCTTCCCTTATAGATACCCTCTAGTATAGTATGTTCCTTCTCAGAGTTATTCTAATGTTGGAAATGTTGATCGACATGGATACTTTCACTGTGGGATTCACATAGGGAGGTTGAATTAATGCTACATTCCGTTGTGACCATTTTGACATTCTCGTTCCCAAGGTGGAAGAATTCTAAGGTTTAGTAGATGATGTTGTAGAAGTCTTATAAGTGCTAACATACCAAACCTGTATCCATTTTTTGAATGTAGTCAACATTGTTGTATTGCAGATATTTTATAATTTAATAAAAATCTAAAGTTGAAAAAAAAAAAAAATTTGGTAACAATAACACTTAGGGCCGGTTCACACCACAAAGAGTGCATTCCAGAGCATTCGGCCTCTGGAACGCAACCTGGCCGGCTCCCTGGATTCAGGGGTGGGTGTGGCAGTGCATTGAAGTCAATGGCACCACAGCCATGCCCCCCACCTGCAGTGCGATGCCCGGCACCCGAATGCGTGGCACATCAGTGCCTGCGTTCCGGCCCAGTGTGATCTGCAAAAAATAGTGCATGCAGCATTTTTGCAGATCGCACTGGACCGGAACGCACTAATGTGCCACACGTTCGGGTGCCGGCGATCGCACTGCAGACGGGGGGCATGGCTGCGGTGCCAATGACTTCAATGCATCGCCAGGGTCCTATTGTGACCCTGAAGAGAACTATGGGCAAAAAGGTTGCCCCATAGTTCTCCTTTACACATTCTGTCCAGACCAATCAATGAAAGAATAATACAAAGCAAACTTTGTTTCCATCTATAAGTATATTGCGTGTTTTAAAGTATATTTATGGATAGATTATATGTTCATCAGGCCATTAGGTTGTAGTGGGTGGACATACCACATATATTAACTTCATGATTTTTTTTTAATCAACTCTTGCGGTGGGGCTACCCCTGCAGTGGAAGGATTAAGTGCTTGTTTTGGTCTAGTGTGAAAATAAAAAAAATTATATACTCCTCTGATCCTCAGTCCTGCGGCAGTGACCGCTCACCGCTCTGGCTGTGGTATGTCCCTTGTTGTCCTCACGTCTAATGAACGTGTATTAGACGTAATGACTTCATGTATCCTTAGACCGCAGGAGCCCGGGGAATAACAGGCTGCAGCACAAGTGCAGCAGCCAGGCAGGGTCGAGGTTTGGGTAAGTATATCTATTTTCACCTCTTAAATAAAATGAGCACTTAACCCTTGCAGTACAGGGGTAGCCCCACTTTAATGGTTAATTTTTAATAGTTCCTCTTTAGAATCTACTTTAAATCCAGTTTTGCATACACTATACAAAAAACATTTGTTTGTATTGGTCTTTCCTAAGTCCCAATACCATACCTAATCATTTAAACAAGGGAATGTTCGTGACCACAAAAGTTCTAATTCTGGAGAAAATTTTTTCTAGCACATGCGCATTACAATAAATACAATTTTTTTTCCGACTGAAAACCACATTAGCTACTAGAATTTTGTTTGTTCTGATAATAAACGAGAAAACATTTTCCAACCTGGACCTTCATTACGGTTGAAAATGATCGTTGATTTGTCCCCATTAACTATTGAAAACTTTAATGAACATTTCGTAAAGGATCTTAAAAGGATTCTGGCAGTGTATGGCTAGCTTAGGAGAAATTTTTTCTTTCTTCTGTTTTGCAATCAGGAAACAGATCTGAAAGGGTCAATCGCTGGAGCAGAGAAGCTTCTTGACTGCCTTCTCCGATCAGATAAAGAAGAGTGGCCAAAGGCCTTTACTCTAGTCTTGGAACGCTTTGATTACACAGAAGTCCTGGAGGTTTGGAAAGGCGACACAGGTGAGTTGAACAACAAATTGCTATACTGTAGACGAGAATATATTTATCTGCATGACTGGTCTGTTCCCTGTTACAACACTCAGGTGTGGGCAACATCAGCCCTCCAGCTGTAGTGAAACTACAAATCTAAGCATGTCTCTGCCTCTGGGTGTCATGCCTGTGCCTATCAGAGACTTGCAATGCATCATGGGACATGTAGATTCACCACAGTTGGAGGCCCAAAGTTGCCTACCTCTGTTGTAGACCCATGGATGGCAAACAACCTTTTATACCGTAAATATGGGGCTGCCTTTGCTGACTTCCTTCTAAGAAATGCTAGTTGCCCACTGACTTTATTACTTTCTGGCTTGGAACAAAATATGCAAATCAGAAAAGTCGCAAGTCCTTATCTGCGTGCTTGTTCTGGGTTTATGAAAAAAGAAAAACGTGCCGCACTCCTTACCGGGACTCCCCACAAAAAGACAGGTGCTTGAAATTACTGCAGATGGCGCCGCCACACATAAACAAAAAGGAAGACGTCACCAGCACTCCAACAACGATAATAACAGCAATTAGATGCCCATTTATTGACAGATGCTGTCTCTCATTGGCAAGCGCTTTTGGGGCCACACAGGTTCCCCTTCGTCAGGTCATCTCTGAGACGGCTGGTGACATCTTCCTTTTTGTTCTGGGTTTATGACTCAATGTATTGAGAGTCAGGATTGCAGCCAGCCAATCAGGATTTGTATGATGACAAGTAAGCAATAGCAGGCTACATGATTCTGTCAGAAAAAACTTTCCTTTTAAACCTGTTTTTAACGACTAAGAAAACACCATTGTTCAGTGTTGGAAAATGCAGTAAATCCAGCACAACCAATCAAAAATCATCTTTCACTTTTCCATCACACACAGTAAACTGAAATTCGATTAGTTACAATTGATTACTGAATATTATCACTGGTTTTAGCACTGAAATCAGTTTTTTTTCTGTTTAGCAAGTATTGGGAAATTGGGGGGTGATGTTAAGTGCTCTACATCACTTCCTGTTAATTTATGATTGTGGACATAGTAACTATATCCACAATTTATGAATGGACAGGAGCACTAAGTATAGAAGCTTCCTGTTCATTCATAACAGGGGCAGCAGAAAAGGACATTTAGGACTCTGTCTTCAATCTCTTTTTCTATTTCAAAAGAGAAATATCAGGGGGCCAGACCCCTAATATTTCCCCAGAGTCCCCTGTCAGTAAAGTAAATAAATACAAATAAAATATGAAAAAAATTATTTCAAAAAAGTTTAGAACATTTTTTTTTTTTAGTTTCGGCCTGACACATTTTTTAGTTTTGGTCTGAAAATTCAATTTTGGTGCACCTCTAATTTTTTCTTTACAGGTCGAATGTACTATAGTACTGCATTATGGCCACTAGATGTTGCTTAGGAGCATAGGAAATTAAAACGTTTTACAAACATTTGTTTTTGCCTCCATTTCATAAAGATGTGCAGGGTGAATGGCTCTGTCAGTTGTTTATAAACAGACCCCTTGTCTGAAGAGAGAAATGACGGTGCTGCTTAGAAGAACTAATCAGCATTACCCTTGTAGGCTGTTTGTGCAGTATTTAAAGTGGAACTCAGGACTTTTTATTATTCCCAGTAGCATGAGAAGGATTAAAACCTCTTTTTGGGGTTTTTATTGCTGCCCGTGCCCTACAGGGCAGATTTATCCTCATGTTCTGCTGATAGTTGTCATTGGGAAAGGGAAAGGAATAATGTTATGGTTATCACTGAAACAGATGTAAAGGCTCAGTCTCTCATTGGGTTCATGTTCTCCACTGACAACTGCCAAAGGTGGGATTTTCCCTCACCCTATCCAAAACTTAAATAAAATACGTTTTCAGTCTTCAGTCGAGCAGTTGATTGGCTGGTGTGGGCTTACACAATTCTTTTTTTCTTTTCTTCCTTTATTTTATTTCCTTTCTCCTCATAAAGTATGCAGCATATGTGGTGTCTAACATTTGGAATTAAACATACTTAACGCTTTATACTTTCAGAATGCCGTAATGAGAAAAAAGTGCCCATTGATGACTCAGAGTCTGGAGAATCAGACAGTACCTTGATGATGGTCCATTTCTCTGAAGAGGCTGCACTGGAGAACCAATGTCTGTCAGGTAACTAGCTCAAAGTCCTTCATTTCCGAGAAATGATACATTATAACTGAAAAACACACTAATAGAACACACTCGAGATCACAGATTAATCATATGCTACATCATTATCAATATAGAGCAGTGACCCATAAGAACCAGAAACTGGTTCTTCTGACACTTTGTTAGAGGCTACTGCACACTATTGCATTTCATATACTTTGACATAATTCTTTTGCATTGTATTTATCTGTGTATAAAGATTTACTGATAACTCCCTTAGGCCAATGTAAATGTCGTCTACTTTGCTATCCCCCATGGCCCAAGCCTTGCCCTTTTCACCAACTATACAGAGTAGAAAAGACATTAGCAGAGGCAAGCTCTTTGTTCAGTTTAATGTAAAAAAAAAAAAAAACCAACAACATCATCTTACAGTGGAACTACACCCTCCTATGCCTTACAGCCAAGGAAGGTGCCATCTTAGCCTCTATTTGGATGCAGTTGCCATGGTGCTGCACATGTAATCAGATATGACACAAGATATGTGAGGGCGTAAAAGTTTGGTTGAGAGCTGAAATACGCACACTGACACCCCTGAGGGTTGGTGCAGACTTGGGCGTTGCCAGCAGTTGCCACGCGGCCCCTTCGAAGTCAATGGGGTTGCATCCGTGCTGTACATGCACAGGTTTTTTTCAACCGCAATTGTGCGTGATTGCACGGGCGGAATCGTGGAGGGAAACAGTGCGAACTGCCTGGGGTGCCATTACAAAATAATGGCACCGCCAGCTTCATCAGCGGTGGTGTGCGACTCTGTGACCATGCGTTTTCGTGCACGATTGCTGTGCAGTCACGGATCGCCCAGGTGTCAACCTGGTCTGATAGTTGGCATGCCTTAAAAGTAACTGTTTGGGGGGAGACATTAAATTTGTGCGTAAAATTCCTTAATTTTTGCTTTTGGAAATCAGGTAACTTAGTATGTTAATTACCACTAAGGCATAATGACTCCTAGATTATACAGTAGCAGCCCAGGAAACAGAATTAAAACATCCCATAGTGCTTTCTATTAAACGAAAATTGCCAAATGATATGCTCACATTCAGAAGTGCACCTGTCCATGTACCAGATATAGCGTTTACAACTTGAAATCCCGGCTAACTCTAGGAGGTCGCTGATGCCATCTTCCCCAGCATGAGCCCGAGCTCTGCCCCAATGTATGTACAACCCCAATTCCATAGATTGGTGAACCTCTGCCCATCTTTACTTCTGAGACACTGGGGTTGATTTACTAACCTTATAAACACACCACGAACATGTATACACCTCTGTAGTGTGTTCCCTCCCAGCATGATCTATGGGTGGAATCTAAACACCTTTGTAGTGTGTACACACCCAGCAGGTGTGTTGTGCAAAGCCAAGCATGAATTACAAGGTGATGTTGTGTAAATTAGCTCTATGTAGTGTTGCTCGTGTTGATGAATGCAGGAATGTAAATGCATTAACTAACCATTTTTGTCTAAACTGTGAAGCAGCATTATATATGCATCATGTGCATGATTTTTCCATATATGGCATTAGTGGAAATATGCTTTTAGAGACTTTTTGGTTGATAAATACGTTTTGCTGTGTGAAAATCACACGCACCTGGTGCGTGCTTGTGTTTAGGTTAGTAAATCATCCCCACTGACTCTCTAAGATGCTCTTTTTATACCCAATCATGTTACTGATCTGTTGCCAATTAACCTAATTACTTGAAAAATGTTCTTGCAGCTCTTCTTTGTTAATAACACTTACTTTGCCAGCTTTTTGTTGCCCTGTCCCAACTTTTTTGAGACGTGTTGCTGCCATAAGTTTCAAAATTAGCTTTTCTCATTTTAAACATTTAATATGTTTTCTGTGAATAAAATATGGGTTCATTGCATTCTGTTTTTATGTAGATTGTACACAGCGTCCCAACTGTTTTGAGATTGGGGTTGTACGTCACCTAAACTCTACTCCCCTTTTTAGAAAAGTAATTTTGAAATATCTGGAAATCACCATGGGATCGTTTTATTCTGTCTCCTGAGCTGTTAAAATCTGGGAGTGATTAATCGGACTTGGATAGTGCAGTTATTGAGCCCTATTGGGGAAAAGCTTTCTAAGGCCTTATTTACCATATAGGGTTCATCCTTAAGGTCTTGTCTGTTGAGCTGCACACCACCGCACATGTATGGTGTGAACAGGGCACATAGGAAACCATTTTTTCTGTTACATTTGTTACAGTTCATCGATGTCAAAACTAGGGATGCACAGATATATCGGCCGCCGAAACATATCGGCCGAAAGAGGTACTTTTGGCTAAATGCCGGACATCGGCACATTCTTGATTTCCTTCCTCCCCGCTGGGCGCTGCTCTGTGACAGCCGGCCGAGCGCTGCGGGACATGAGTGCTGTGAGCAGCCGGTGTCTCTCCTCCCGCACCGCTCGGCCGCCTTTCACAGTGCAGCGGAGCCGTGTGGGGGCAGAGACATCGCTGTCACAGGAGGCTGGGCTCTCCTCTCGCACCGCTCACTTAGCCTCCTGTGACAGTGTGTGTCAGAGAGCAGAGCAGGCTACAAACACTCAGTGATCGCTGAGTGTTTGTAGATAATTGAGGATATAGTATGGGTAATATATCCTCAATTATGAATGAATGGAAGTGATCTATATCCACTCCTGTTCATTCATAATTGTAGTTATAGTAAACATCATAATTGTAGTTATAGTAAACATACTATGTCCCAAGTTATCAATGAACTGGAACACTCATAGAGGATTCCTGTTCATTGATAACAGGGGATACAGAAAAGAGATTCTCAATCTCTTTTTCTATTTTTAAAAGTGAAATATTAGGGGTCTATTTAGACCCCTAATATTTCCACGAAGCCCCTAAAAGTAAAGTAAAAAATATTTAATAAAAAATATATTTATATATAAAAATAAATATAAAAAAATTAAATATGTAAAAAATTTAAAATAAAAACATTTTCGGTATCGGTTTCGGCCTGACAATTTTTTCTATTTTGGTTTCGTTTCGGTTTTTACATTTCTATTTCGATGCGCCTCTAGTAAAAACATATACATTGAAGTAGCATACTATAAGTAAAAGCAATAAAGGGCTCGTATGAATTGTCTCTGTTCTTTAAATTTTAATTTTTAGCCCCTGGGGAACCGCAGCACAATTACGGGAACACATCAAGGCTTCCTACAACTCTCAGTAAGTAAAGTATATTAGAATTAACTACAGAAGACAGTGTCACAAAGGATCTCTGTTTAGTATTTATACTGAAAAATCAAAATGAGATTTCAAAAGTGAGAAAACTCATGTTACTACCGGTAGGGTCTGAAAGAACAACTCTGAGAACATTTTTATTAACCCTTGTAGTGGGGCTACTTACTCGTTTTCGCCTAGGGCCAAAAATAAAAAAAAGTTATATTCACCTGAACCTTGGAGCTGGCCGGTGTCCCAAAAGCCTATACATTGTGTATTGGATGTGATGACTTAGACCACTGCAGCAGAGGGGGAGTAAGGCTTGAAGCACCGTTCTAAGAGCAAGTTGGCTCAGAAGAACGGGTGAGTATCATTTTTTTTATTTTATTCCCTAGACGAAAACGAGCAGTTAACCCTTGCAGTGCAGAGGTAGCCCCACTGCAAGGGTTAAGGAAAATTTTACCCAAAGTTCTTCTTTAAACAGACTTCTACCTTTCCAGGAAGTCCCCTTTAAATGCTCTTGCTTAGTTTTTGAACGCTCTGGTAAATTTTATTTGAATGCCAATATTATTAATACATGATTTTGTCTATTTTGCAGTACAATTGTAAATGTTTTATAATGTTAAATTGTATATATATACACAATTTTTTTTTTTTTGCTTTTTAGGTTCCACCCCATTATCAATAAAAGATATAAAGCTTAGAAAGTATCAAGAAGAGTTGGCTGAGCCTGCATACAGAGGCAACAACACAATTATATGTGCCCCGACAGGTCAGTTTGTTTGCATCAGCAGTGAACAAAATGTAATGTTGGTTTCAGCTTAATACATTTTAGTAATATTATAAACAATTAAAGACTTACAGCTTTATTCATTACCATAAATCTGGGAGGGCTGGGGGTGGAGATTGTCTCGGGGAACTCTCAACTGTCAGTCCATAGCTTGCTTTGATAGAAATGATCATTACCAACTAACTTGTGAGGCTATACAAGTCTTTTAGTTATCTCAATATCCAGAATGCAGGAAATGTAAGTTGTGTCTGTGGAGAGGTAGCAGCTGTGGGAAGGACTATATCCCTTATTGAACCCACTTAATTGAATACTTTAATGCAGGCAAGCTACTCATACAGTAATGGAATATGCCTCTAGGTAATGCAGCAAGGGTTAAAAAATCCTGTGCTAGCAACATTAGAAGACTCGGACTGCCACTCTGACACAAGCAGCATCCCAGCTCTCCAACACGCCCCCTGAACACCATTCTAATTAATGGATCTGTTTAGGGGAACAAGAATGATATTGATTAGAGCATTGTTCAGTTGGCATATCGGGCTGCAGGAGAGCTTGTGTTTGAGAGCTGAATTCGACTCTATGTGCTGGCAGTTATTGCTGCAGCACTTAGCTGATAAGAAAGATACAAAATTAGGCATATTTATTAGGAATGCACCGATATATCGGCTGAAAATTGCACTTTTGGCATAATGGCGAAAGTGCCATTTTTCTGGCCGATACAGCGGTGCATCCATCCTATTCTCTCCTCCCCACTGTGTTCCAGCGGGGAGGAGATAAACTGTCACAGGCGGCCAAGAACTGCGTAAAGAGAGCGCTGTGAGCAGCTGGCGTCTCTCCTCCCCGCACCGCACAGCCTCCTGTCACAGATCAGAGGAGAGAGGTGTGGGCGGAGACATCCTGCGCTGTCACAGCAGGCTGAGCTCCGCTCGCTCAGCCCCCTGTGACAGCGTGTCAGGAAGGAGAGTGGTACAAACACTCAGTGATCAGTGATGGCTGAGTGTTTGTAAATAATTGAGGATATAGTATGGTTACTGTATCCTCAATTATGAATGAATGGGAGTGATCTACATCACCTTCTGTTCATTCATGATTGTGGATATAGTAAACACACTGTGTTCTAACGTTATGAATGAACAGGAACACTCAGTATAGAGGATTCCTGTTCATTTATAACAAGGGCTGCAGAAAAAGAGATTGATGACTGTGTCCTCAATCAATTTTTCTATTTTAAAAGGGAAATATCAGGGATCTGTTTAGACCCCTAATATTTCCCTGAAGCCTCTAAAAGTAAAGTAAAATATAAATGTACTGCAGTTTTTCGCCGTTTCACGGTCGCACGCAATCTGTAAACTGGGCATGTTGGGTATCGTTTTACTCGTTGTAACCTCATCTTTTATATTTCATTAAAAAAATGGGTAATTTGTTGTGTTTTGGGGCATTTAATTAAATTTGTCACTAAATTTTGGGGTTTAATAAAGAGTTGCGCTAATATTGCGCAACATAAACATTTTCAACTACCACCATTTTATTCTATAGGGTCTTGGCATTCAGAAAATATATAATGTTGGGGGGTTTTACGTCATTTTCAGGCCTAAAATGTGGAATATAACATGGGTGCAAAAAATGAAAAAAGGGCCTCAGTCATAAGGGGGTTAATAAAATGAATCAATAAATCCCGTTATGCTTCTTGGAGTCATGCCTGTAGCTGTCAGTCTTGCAATAAATCATGAAAGTTGTGGTTCCACAACAGCTGGATTGCCAAGGTTGCCTACCTTTGATATAATGCCTATCTATATCAAGTATTAGCCCTTTAGAAAATACCTTAGGTAATATCAGCATAGTGGTACAACAAATTTTTAAAGATTGAATCCCAGTAATTGTACTTGGGTAAGCTTCCAAAAATGCTCTGCAGCTTATTTGCAGGATGTAGCACACTGTCATGTTTTTGTTCTATTTCTTGAACATTTGGGGTTGTCTGCTCCTGTATGCATGATGTACACAGGGAATTGTGCTATTTGAGTCATTTAATTCTCACTTTTTATTATTACAGGATGTGGAAAGACATTGGTGGCATTATCGATTTGTGATCACCATCTAAAATCTATGCCAGCAGGTCAGAAGGGAAAGGTTGTGTTTATGGCTACCAAAGTGCCAGTGTATGAGCAGCAGAAAAATATTTTCTGCCAGTACTTCGACGATACCGGGTATGTACTAAAAATGATATGACTGGGGTTAGAGAGAACTCCACCCAAACTGCATGGGTTGGGGCTGGTTTGTAATACTCCTACGGGTGTTTCATGGTTTGTTAAACCATCGTGAACATTCCCTACACCTGCCCTGTCAACAAGGCAGACTCAGTTTTCAAAACAAACCTGTCCAAAATAAAAAAAATATCCCCAACTATTCAACCCTATACTTACCATTTACTGCCATTCCTCCACAACACAGATCCCTGCCACTGTAAAAATCACAGCACTTTCAGGTATGAGGAAGCAAATTGCAAGTTCTTTGTGTTTTCACAGAGCAGCCCCAGCACTTTCACATGCCTGTCACCTTAATAGTGAGAAAGCAGTTGTAAAGTGTGCAGAGGGCAGGGTAGAGGGTTAAGGATTCTAGTTTTTTGCATGTTAATTGAGAAAATAAACTTTCAGGGCTATTCACAAAAGGGTGAGGAGTTTGGAGAAGGCAGGAGAAGTGAACAATCTAGGACAACATAGCTGAATTGGAATGTGAGCTGAATTGGAGACATTTTCCAAATCGGCTATGTTGTCCTAGATTGTTCACTTCTCCTGTCTTCTCCAAACTCCTCACCCTTTTGCTTAATAACCCTGTAAATCATCTGAGATAAAAATTCATGTTCATATCCAAAAACAAAAATAGTGCAGCTTATCAGTCTTAAAATGTAGTGGTTGTTTTTTCAGACTTTTCCCTGTTATTTTCACCTGATAATTCTCCAAATAAAATGGGTAGCACCACTATCTGTCTATCTATCTATTTTATTCTTACCGAGGCTGGACTTCAAACATTACTGGCTTTATCTCCACCACATAGGGGCTGATAGGGCTAGTGTTTTCAGAGGGAAGACAAGATTGTCTTATGCTTCTAGTTAGTTCATCTCACGGAAAGTGACAAGGACACTGCATTCCTGGAAAGTTCAACCGGCATATTCTGTTCTTGCTGAAAATGTTTTTCAACCCTGAAAAAAGAAAGCCAATACAGCCACCACCTACCAGCTACCCCCCCCCCCCCCCCCCCCCCCCCCCCCCCCCAATGCAAGACTTTCAGTGCTTGTTTTGTCTAGTGGCTCAAATAAAGCAGATATTTTCACCTGATCCTCGGTGCTGTGGTGGTCAGCACTCACCTCTCTCAACCTCCACTCCAGCTGTGTTATATCCCTCGGCATCCTCACATCTAATGCAGGTGAATGGACCTGCAATAGACATAATGACATCAGCGGGGCTTAGACCGCCGGAAACCCAGGGGAGAAAAGGCTGCAGGGATCGGTCTAGCAGCCAGACCAAACTGAAAATCGGGTGAGTATATCTTCTTTATGTGAGCCTCTAGACCAAAAGTGCACCCAAAAGGTTACTTGGGTTAGTATTGTAATTCCCGTAGTTCCTCTTTAAGGACTGACTGTTAGGTAAACTGCAATTTAATTGAATTATCCTTTAAGCCCAGCTCCATCTTCTACCTGAAAAAAGATCTTTTGCTCAGAGATATGTGGTGCACCAGTGCAGAGTTGGGAGGTTCTATTTTAGCATTAGCACTAGAAGTTTTGGATCTCAAAGTTGTTGTTATCCAGTGACTGAACTACGCACATTTTATTTTCCAGATACTCCGTGGTTGGTTTCTGTGGGGAAGAAGCTGATTATTCTCCTGTCGGGATGATCATTGAACAAAATGACATCATTATTTTGACCCCTCAGATTCTTATCAATTGTCTGAATACTGGATTACTGCCTTCCCTTTCCATCTTTACCTTGATGATTTTTGATGAATGTCACAATACAATAGGACAGCACCCCTACAATGTACTAATGTTTAAATACCTGGACCTGAAACTGGACTCACCAGGTCAAAAACTTCCTCAGGTAAGGCAAGCTATAAAAGAGCTATTTAACATATATTCCCATGCAGGAGAAATCAACATATTCACTTTAACGCAGCCCAAACAGCTGCAAAACCTCAGCCTCCCCTCGACTTACACTCTGCTCTGGACTAAATAGATGGGAACAAGCCAAGAAATGACTAGATGTGAACAAGCTGAGAACTGACTAGATGTGGTCAAGCTGAGAACTGACTAGATGTGGTCAAGCTGAGAACTGACTAGATGTGGTCAAGCTGAGAACTGACTAGATGTGTACAAGCCTGAGAATTGAATAGATGTGAACAAGCTGAGAACTGACTAGATGTGAACAAGCTGAGAACTGACTAGATGTGAACTAGATGAGAACAAGCTGAGAACTGACTAGATGTGAACAAGCTGAGAACTGACTAGATGTGAACAAGCTGAGAACTGACTACATGTGCACAAGCTGAGAACAAGCGGAGAACTGACTAGATGTGCACAAGCTGAGAACTGACTAGATGTGCACAAGCTGAGAACTGACTAGATGTGTACAAGCTGAGAACTGACTAGATGTGAGCAAGTCAAGGACTGATGAGTCGTGAACATTTAGTCTTTCAGTCATGAAGGCTCAGCTTTGCAGGTGGAGATTACCTAGGTTGGTCAGGGCTGAGGACTCTTGAGACGAGTTCTAAGGTAGGGTAGTGTGGTGCTTTCAAGAAGCTGTGTACAGCTCCTTACTGGCCCCTTCTAGTAGCCATGATCTGCTTGCTTTGCATAGAGAAGCAATAATGATTTCTCTGGGTCTTAAATAAGGTGTCACATACCTTAAGGGGAGCCTGAGATGGCGAGGGTGGCCTCTCTTGCTGCTCCAGTCCAAACCCCCCCCCGGATAGTGGAACAGGTGCATGAGGACAAGGAGGGGCACAAGTGTCGGTAGGTGTAGATTCCTGTCAAAGCCGCGTGCAGGTTGCAGGGGTCTTCAAGCAGGATGCAGTTATAACGCAGGATCCTGGAAGCAGAGTAGAGACAAGCTGGGTCAGCAACAATCTGGCAGCGAGGTACACAATCAAGAGACAGGATGTAATCAGAGGCAGGTCGGGTCAATAACTTGCAGACAGTGAAGTACCAGGAAATAGGCAAGAGAGGAGTCCAAAACAAGCCGAGGTCAAGGAGTATAGAGCAGGAGCAGAGGTCAAACAAGCCGGGTCGGTTTAAGATAATCGGATCAAGTATACAGGTTTCAGGAACAAGGGACAGGGTACAGCTGAAGATCAGTCAGCAGGGAAGTCAAGGTGTCCCAGGCTTAAATAGCCCGATTGGCACCATCATCAGGAACAAGCATGTGGGCTCGTCCGCGCGCACATGGACACGCCCACTCAGAGGCACGTGGCCGCGCACAATCCCCTGTGCTGGATGATGCACACGTGTAGGTGCCCGTCTAGAACTCCGGCCACACAGGCTGGCTCTGGCTTCATGGCATAAGGTATGTAATGAAAAGAGAATTTTTTTTTTGTAACAATTTCAATGGCATGTTGGAACTGGGAAAGACAAAATAAAAGCAGATTGAACTATAGCTTTTAACGATCCAAGGATTTTTAGTACTACTGCATTTTTCTAAATGTTGCCAATATCAGAGTCTGTTGTTTAAAAGGGGGGGGGGGGGGGGGGAGGTGGTATAAAAAATTAGTCATTTTTTTTCCATCTGTATCTTGTTAGGGAGATTTCCTTTTGCTCCTTGTCCTGTAGTTCCAATAGGAAATGAGGAGATATATTTCCAATGTGAGGGAAATCCCCTCTTAGACCTCTGTCACTTTAATAAGTGTCCCCATTGGAAGATTTCCCCTGTATTCCAATTCTGCTGGCAACTAAAAATTTAGATTTTTCCTCATTTGCATGGCTAGTGACACTGGTGATCAGGACAACTGGAGAAAGTGACACAGACAGCAATATATACCTCACATTGGTCTGTACACCTTGGGGGGGGGGGGGGGGAGTAGCTTGAATAATACTACAAAAGCCACAATAATCCCCATTGTGTAGTTTGCTGTAAAATAAGAATTTACTTTCCTAAAATGTACTCATATTGACTTTTAACAATTTGTATTAAACATACAGATCATTGGTTTGACAGCCTCTGTGGGCACTGGAAAGTCCCGTTGTGTTTCAGAGGCTGTGGAATACATCAGTAGACTCTGTGGCAGTATGGACGTTGAATGCATCTCCACTGTTAAAGAAAATGTGGCAGAGCTCCATAAAGTGGTGTGCAAGCCAGATAAATGTAAGTACCTAATAGGAATATATTTTTGACAGCTACAATACAATAGAACCTGTGTATGTCTTCCAAGGAACCTGATAGTTACTGCTTTGTGTTCTATCATACCTTTTTTACAGTTATTCGAGAAATAGGTTGTCGTGTGAACGATCCATTTGTTGCCATCATGTCTGAAATCATGGCAGAAATCGAACAAATGGCTAAAGTCGTTTACCCATATTTAGGTAGGTGTGATGTATGGTTTATAGGATTATTATTCCTGATTCCATGATTCCTAAATTCAGAATGTTATGAGTGACAGTGGTAAGCGGCAGAATAGTCTAACATCTGTTTCTAGGTGGTAAAGTTGAGTTGTTATTTAGAGGAAACATTCAGAAGAAATATGTAGGCTGCCATTGTTGATCTTCTGAAAATGTTGGCTGTCTCTGGCTTCAATACATATGGAGATGCTAACCTGGGGCAAGCATGCAGCACCCAAGATTAAGTCAGAATGCTTAATCTGCATACTTTCCCTGGGTCAGTGCCACAGAAGGTACTAAAAACATTGGATCAGCATAACAGGAGAGGTTGGTGATGGACACCTCTATATCAGTGGTTTTTAACCTGTTTTACCTCAGGAGCCACATTTGTCCTTGGTCATTAAGTCGCGACCCAAATCGCACTGCAATGGAACGCACAGCATTGGCTACTGCGCATTCCGATGTGGGTGTACGAACTGGGGGTGGGAGGTGCGTTTGGGGTACCCTTCAAATGAATGGCAACGCAACACACCTCCCACACCAGAATGCACGGTAGGTGAGATTGGATTACCAGTGTTACCATGTGTTAATTACACGGTACTAGTGTGAACGGGCCCTCAAAACCACTGACATACATACACATCCAGAGACACAATCTTACACACAGACATTCTCACACACCAAAATTTTTTATTCTTTTTAAGATCCACCTAGTCTCCCTACCTTACAAGAACTGGAGTCGATCCTCAGCCTGGGGTCCAGTGTGGGCTGCTGTGCTGTGAAGGAACTCCATCCATATGTGCATTGCGCACCCTGTAAAGGTGCTGGGAGCCAGAATGTGACGTCACTCTGGTCCAGGCACCTCTACAGGACACATGAGGGAGCAGTAATCAATGCACGTGTGGATTGAGCTTCCTCGTGGCCATACCTCCATCCCACCCCACCTCAAGCTGAGACTCGGCTCCGGGCAGCATATTTTGAATGGCAGCTTGGCGAAGGAACTGACAGTGCTACACTGGGAGAAGGCTGGGGTTCCTCTCGTCTAGAAAACTGGAAGGTCTGCAGCGACCCACTGAACATGGGGTCGCGGCCCACTTTTGGGTCGCGGCCCACCAGTTGAGAACCAAGACTCTATATGTTCTCAGTACAGGTTCCCATTATTTTATTATAGGTATTTTTAATATAGCGCCAACAATTTA